AAAAAAAAAAAAAAAAGACAAAGGAACTGATAAAAAGAACAATTCTGTAACAGAGAAACAGCATACACCTGAGGAAGAATTGGAGAGTAGAGCACTAAGATACATAAATGGAATCATATGTACTCTTTTGTTTGGTTTCTCTGACTCAACGTTACACCTATACATTCATCCATGTTGCTGGATGTGGCAGGAGTTCTTTCTCGTTGCTCTGTAATACTCCAGTTTGTGAATATTACAAAATCCGTCTGTTCTCCTCTTGATGGATATTTGGAGTATGGATATGTTACTAGCAACATCCTGCCATGTGTCTTCTGGCTCACAATTGAAGGCACATTTGTTTGGTAAAGACCTTGGAACACTGGTAGGTCACAGGGTACTGCTTTACTGGGTTCTGCCAAACTTTCCCAAAGTGAAAGTTTGGGAAAAATGTCCCAATTTATACTCCTACTAATAATATATAAAAGTTCTGGTCACTCTGCATGCTTGCTAAACTTTGATTTTATCATCTTTTTTGGTCAATTTTAATTTTACCCATTCTGGTAGGCATGCAGTGATATTACTACACTGTGGGATGTGGTTTTTTTTTTTTTTTTTTTTTTTGTTTTTGGCTTTTTTTTTTTTTTTTTTTTTGCAGTTTTTGGCTGGGGCTGGGTTTGAACCCACCACTTCTGGCATATGGGGCCGGTGCTCTACTCCTTTAAGCCACGGGCACCGTCCTGTTTTTTTGTTTGTTTGCTTTTTTACACAGGATCTCACTTTGTTGCCCTTGGTAGAGTGCCATGGTGTCATAGCTCACAGCAACCTCAAACTCTTGGGCTCAAGCAATCCTCTTGCCTTAGTCTCCCGGGTAGTTGAGACTACAGGCACCTGCTAATTTTTTAGTAGAGCTGGAGGTTTGCTCTTGCTTAGACTGATCTTGAACTCCTGAGCTCAAGCAATCTACCCGCCTCAAACTCCCAGAGTGTTAGGATTACAGGCATAAGCTACCATGCCTGGCTTACCCTTTGTTTTATTTTATTTTATTTATTTATTTTTTTGAGACAGAGTCTCATTATGCTGCCCTCAGTAGAGTGCCATGGCGTCACAGCTCACAGCAACCTTCAACTCTTGAGCTTAAGCAATTCTTTTGCCTCTGCCTCTTAAGTAGCTGGGACTACAGGCGCCCGCCACAACACCCAGCTAATGACCCTTTATTTTAAATAGCAAAGTTTCTTCTGCCTAGTAGACTCATTCTTCTCTGGTTTTAGACCATCTTGCCTACAAAAAAACCATTCCGTACAATCCTAAGCCTATTATTATCAGTTTATCAGCTCCTGCCAGAAAAGGATATAATTTTTTATCAGTTTACATTAACAAAGGCTCTACTACTCCCCATCTGCCTTACTGCAACAAAAATCTGGTAAATCATGGTGGGTAAAGCATAAACATCAGGGACTTTAGTGTCACCTGTACACTTAGTGTAGAACTGTTGAGTGACCAAAATGGAACTAGGGCTGGGCATGGTGGCTCACACCTATAATCCTAGCACTCTGGGA